AATCCAAGATATTGATAGAGAAATTTGTAATGATGGGAAAAAGTTAGAAGTTCTATTGTTAAATAAAGATGAATTATTAGGTCTTAAAGAGCTCGTAAATTTATTAGAGCCTTTTGCACAAGCAACATCCTTAATGTATGGTAATACATATCCTACACTCTCTCTTATGCTTCCAATGATTACAACTCTTCAAGAATACTTATTTAAAGTGGAATCTAAACTAAATCATCAAGCAGTTCATGAAGTTAGGGATGAGATAGAACTTAATATAGCTGATCGATGGGAAGACCCAAAAATAGAAGGATATTTAGCTGCAATCTTGGACCCTAGATTCAAAAATTTCAAATTCGCTCCTGAAAAATTCGAAGAGATAAAAAAATATCTCAAACATAAAATGCAAGCATTAGATGAGAATGAATTTTTGAATGAGCAACCAACAACAAAATCGTCCTCAAAATTAGCTTCTTTTTTTAACAACGTTACTATCACTAAAAAAACCTCACCAGTTGATACAGAATTAAAAACATACTTTGATTTGCCTCAAATGATACTGTATGATTCTGATGATCCAGAATATCAAACTAAAAACCCACTTTCTTGGTGGCAGTTATATTCAACAACGTTACCTTTACTTTCATGATTAGCTCATCAGTATCTTGCAATTCCGGCTACCTCAGTCCCTTCTGAACGTCTATTTTTTACAGCAGGAAATGTATTAACCGATAAAAGAAGTAGACTGCTTCCTGAAAATGTTCATGATCTGGTTTTTTTAAAAGAAAATAATAATAGTTTTAACATTTACCCAGATCTTGAGTAGACAAGCGAAAATGTTAAAAAGGTAAGATTAATCTTTAGATAGTTTCATTTATTAAAATTTACCAGCATGTTTAATCAATTTCTCAGTTGTATATAAAATGCCTAGTCCTAAACGTATATAAAATGCTATAGTCTACGTATTATGCTCAGCTTTTTTTAAGAAAAAAAAAATTATATTAACGATAAAATTATAATAAAATAAAGGTAGCGGTAGCACAATGCATATTATTGGTACTCATAAGAAAAAAAATTTATGTAACGATAAAATTATAATAAAATAAAAGGTAGCGGTAACACAATGCATATTATTGGTACTCATAATATAGTCGTCGGCTTGCGGTTAAAAACCGAAATTTGTAATCGACTTGAGCCGGCTTAGTCGAGTCGATTTTTTAAAAGCGGCTTAATTCACTAATTTTACCATACCTCGATGTCATTCTATTTTAATATTAAAGAATCAAATTGTTGTGTTGTCGAATATGGTTATTGCTTGATAATTTTATAGCAAATATGCATATTATTGCAATAAGTTATTTGTAAAATTGTAGGCTTTATGAACCAAAATTCAGGATTAAAACATCGGGTGCTTAGATTAGGCAATCTACTTTTTTTGGAACCATAATGTGATAATAAGGATACCTCAATCATTTATTGTCATTTTTGTATCAATTAATTGAGCGTTTGAGCATCATCTCAATCATTACATTGAATGGGTGCTTGAAAATTCAATTCCGCTTTTTAAAAACTTGGAAAGCCTCATATTTTTATATTTAAAATTTTTCTTCAGGTTTTCTATAATGCCGCCAATGACGTCTATTCCAACAATATAAATTATCATGAACATATGGTCTATAACTTTATGAAAATTTAATTGACTCGCGAAATAAAACTTTATTTGTACAATAAAAGTTTTATCTTTCGGTAACTCCCAGTTAAATGGATTATATCCATCTAAAATTGTTACCTAACTCTTAACCTTCAGTACTGCTAGAACAGGGCCCTTATTGTCGCATTTAGGAGAACTAGGCGGAGTAAATACATCTCGAGTACCTCTAATATCAATTATCCTTGTTACTGAATAATATTTAATCTTAAAAAAAACTACTTGATACATAAAAATTCTTGTAAAATATTTTTGAAATCAAAAAATGAAAAATTAAAATTCACGTATATTATACTTCACATGCACACACAAATGCAATTTAAAAAATTGATCTATATTATTTGTCACGCCGGGTATTTGAGCCAGCAGTTTATGGTAATTTATTGTACTTCATCATTAGGAATTTCAATATAATCAATAGGTTGGCTTGTTGATATTACTAAAAACAAAAAAAATTATAAATACAGTCTAAATCTAATTTGAAAAGATAAACAAAAATAACTACCTGCATTTGCTATATTCACATTTTTATAATTATTAATATGCTAATAATTTTTTAAAATATAAAGAAATAGACTGTCGTAAATAGAAGCAAGCAGAAAT